AGGTGTTCTTGATTTCCTTGCCAGAACATACTACTTCATGTTTATTCAAAGTAAAATTCACTTTTTTACTCATCCAACAAATATTTGTTGCCATGCACCAGACACCGCTCCGTGTAACACTGAGCGTGACTGACAGGTCCCTGCTTTTGTGGGACTTTGGTTCTGGTGGAATTTATCACTAAACTAACAGATGGTGATAAATGCTGTAAATAATGAACGAAGGCAAAGTGAGAAGTAATTGCTGGTAGCACTGGGGCCATTTTTAACGGGGTGGTCAGAGGCAGCTTCACTGAGAAGGTAACATTGGTGTTTAAATTTATTTGAGGCTTTAATGCTGAGATGAAGCCAGCTAAGCCAGGAGGCAGCAAAAGGGCATTCCTGTGAATGCCTTAAGAGGGGAAATCAGCTTGGAAGGTGTGAGAAGTAGAAAGCCATGCTAGCTGAAACCTAGTGGGTGAGGAAGAGGGTGGGAGGAGGTGAGGTTAGAGAGGTAAGCACAGAACAGATAAGATGAAGCCCTGAGGACATGACAAAGATTGGATTTGATTCTGAGTGTGAAGGGAAGCCTTTGGAGAGTTTAAAGGACATGACTTAAATTTTGAAAAAATCATTTGGAGAATGAATCCTATGGTCATGAGAGACCAGGGAGGAAGCTGTTGCCCCAGTCCTAGTAAGAGGTCAATGGAAACTTAAGCCAGAGTAAAGTAAAGGAGATGGAAAGAACTGGGCAGAATTGGGTGTTTTAGAGGTTGGTTACATACAGGGGGTCTGAGAGGAAGAGAGAAATTAAATAAAATTCTGGAGGTGGGGACTGGTGGAGGAGGAGCAGGCTTGAGGGAGTTGAGTTCTGTTTTTGCCTCCTGTGTTTCTCTGATTATATACCCTCCAAGGATACCACAATTCTGAATTTTGTGTTTATCATTTTCTAACTTTTCTTTACAGTTGTCACCTATGTATGTAACCCTAAACAATACGATGACTAATTTTCTATGTTTTTGAATTTTGTTTAAGTAGGATTGCACTGTGTGTATTCTTATAATTAGTTATTTTATCCATTTAACATTGCTTTTGAAAGTCGTTCATGTTGTCAGGAAGCAGTCATAGGGAACAATTGATGGTTAATTTCCATTGCTGTGTCAGCATCTCATTTTATGAATACAGTACCGTTTATCCAATTGCCTATTCTTGGATGTAAAGGCATTTTTTTCCACCAGGGTTTTTATAATTTCAGACAGTACTGTTGTTGTGGACGTTCTTGTACTTTTCTCCTGGTGTACATCCCAAGTGCCCGCAGAGTTCACCCTGAGAGGCAGAACTGCTGTGTCGCGGGGGATGTGTATCTTCAGCTTCACTAGACAGTGGTGAACTGTTTTCCGAGGTCTCACCAACAACACAGGAGTTCCTGTTCTTCCACATGTCCTCCATCACTTCGTATTGTCACAGTTTTTAAGTTTTGCTAATTTATATAAAATGGTAGTTTATTGAGAGTTTAATTTCTGTTTCTGAACATTATTGAACATCTTTTACATATGTTTATCAGTCATTCAGATTGTATCTTCTGTTAAATACCTGTTCGTGTCTTTTGTCCAATTTCCTGTTGGGTTGTTTGCCTTTTTCTGGCTGTTTTTAGTTCTCCATATTAGTTACATGTGTTGCAAGTATCCTTTTCCAATTTCTTACTTGTCTTTTTACATGCTTAATGCCTTTTGATGACCAAAAGGTTTTCATTTTACTTTTCCTTTATGGGTTCTTTTTGTGTTTTGCTTGTGAAATAGTTCCCCAAATCAAAATCTTAGAGCTCTTTTCCTATTAAAAAAAAAAAACTATTTTCTTCTCATCGAGGTAAAGTTTGCTTTCCATGTTTTATTTGGAGCTGAGTTTTTCCGTGTTGTGAGGTGGGGATTCCCTTTCATTTTCCCCAGATTTGTATTCACTTGTCCCGCGACCAGTTATTGCATAGTTTAAACTGCTGCTCTCTGTGCCACTCCCCACTGTGTTTACATGGCCCTGTTTTCTGGGCTCTCTTTTCAATTCCATCGATCTATTTTTTTCCTCCAGAGTTTTCATTAACAAATTGCAGGCAATTCTTGTTATTCATGGTACTCAATGTAAAGTTGCCTTGAATAGTGAATAGGGAACCATTGCTCCCAGGGGGAAATATAGGGTTAGGGTTTTGCTGGTCTCGGTTCACATTTTCATCAAGTGATCAATCAGTACATAACCTTGTTTTATAAGTGCTTCTGTTTAAGGACATCTTACTCAATATATGTTATTGCTTCATAGTGAAAAACACCAAAGTTCATGCCTAACTAAATCTTTTCTAACACTTGTTTTCTCTATAAGGCACATCACAACCTTCCTGTGCTAAGGGACACAGCATTACATTGGGGAGGGGAGCTTTTTCAATAGTGAAATCAATGAAAAAGCACAGAAATTTGGAAAACCTAGCACCAAACAGTTGGCGACAGAGACACTTGTTTACAGTATGAGAACTGAAACAAGGCAGAGGGACGCCTTGTTCTATCTCAGCTGTAAATGTGCATGTCTGTTGGGTAACTCACATTTTTTTGTTGCTCTGTGAGTACCTGCAAATGATTGAAAATGCTGAAGTATTGATTTTGGGGTTACAAGTTAATTTGAGTGAGTAGGTGAATTTGCAAATAAGGAATTTGCTAATTAGGAGGCTTGACTGTATCATGAAGTCTGGGTAGACGGTTTTTCAGGAAACCATTAACTTTAGCACTTTCCCTTCCCTCTTACACTTACTTTATATTTATAACATTTTATTTTAAAAGAATGATTTGATGCAGTGCATCTCTCAAATACTAAGTGCTAATTGACAGTTGCCATTATTGCAATGAATTTTTGAGAATATTTTTTATTATATTTATAATCATGGTATTGTTATTTAGTTCATAGGCAAATGAGTTAAGAGTTTTAGGAAAGAATTGTGACTCTTAAAATGTTGGAAACAAGTCTAGATTATTAAACCCTTATTATTGTGACTTATATGAGGATCATGTTTTCTCACAGGTACTGTTAGTAACTTACAGCATATGCTTTATAAAGGCAAGTCCCTTTGGAGATTGTAATTTAAATGTTAACTCTATTAATCCCTCATCCATTAGTGACATTTTTTTCCCAAGTGAACGTCAGTAAAGGAGTCCAAGAAAAAGACAAGATTGTATACATCATAAATCAGATCCCTCACAAAATGCATTTACTGAGACTTGGCTGATTTATCCCTTTCACTATTTAAGATCCTTAAGTGAATTGTTGGCATTAATTTGACAAGTGTGCTGAGAGAGTAAGAACCAATTTGGACTTGACCTATATTCATCTTTTTTTTCCCAACATAACATATGTTTTATTTATTCTCTAATTTTTGAAGTAGTTTTTATTGTGGTAAGATATATATAACATAAAAGGTACCATTCTAACCGTTTTGAAGTATACAGATCAGTGACATTAAGTACATTCACATTGTACACCGATCACCACCATCCATCTCCAGAACGTTCTGCTGTTCCCAAACTGAAACTCTGTACCCGTTAATCAGTAACTCCTCATTCCCCATTTTCCCAGATCCTGACAACCATCATTCTGCTTTCTGTCTCTGTGAATGTGACTACTCTAGATACCTCACATGAGTGGAATCATAGTATTTGTCCTTTTGTGTTTGGTTTATTTCACTTAGCATTGTATCTTCAAGGTTCATCCATTTTGTAGCATGTGTCAAAATTGCCTTCCTTTTCAAAGCTGAATAATATTCCATTGTGTGTATGTACTACATTTTGCTTATCCATTCATCCACCCATAGATGTTTGGACCGTTTCCACCCTTTGGTTACTATTTGGTGAATAATGCTGCTATAAATATTGGTGTACAAATATCTATTCAAGTCCCTTCTTTCAGTTCTTTTGGCATATACCCAGAAGTAGGGTTGCTGGATCATATGGTAATTTTATGTTTAAGTTTGTGAGGAACTGTCATACTGTTTTCTACAGCAGCTACAACATTTTACATTCTTACCCACAATGCACACATATTCATCTTTAGTTGCTAAACTGTGCCAATTGTGCTGAAGCATGGAATAAATTATTAACTCTTATATATGAAATACATAGTGTGGTATGAATACCCAAATTGTGTATTCAGTATTAAATCTACTGTGGCTGCAGTTTTTCCAGAAGAACTTAGCTTGTGCTAGGGAGCAAGTATTTCTCACTTTGCTACTGATGCATTGCTCTATCATGTGATCTCTTATTTTTGGAATCCCTGTGGGGAGGTAGACATAACTGGTATTTCAGTGGTAGCTGTGAAGTATTTTTGTTCATATCTACTCTGATCTGAGTTTATTAATATACCTGCTTTTCATATTTTATAAAAATATGTTTGATGTGCACAATCAGAAGTGATTAGAAAGCAGAAAGATGGAGGAAACAAAACAACAAACTGAAGTCCCAGCTACCTAAAATGTCCTAGAATCTGGCAGGGCTTGGGGATAACGGGAATCTTTCAAAAAATAAAGCTTTTTGGTGATGAGGTTAGGAGTCCACAAAGCAAAAGTTAAATGGATATTAAAAAAAAAAAACTTGTAAAAATTGAGAAAGCTAGTAATCCTGAGAGATTCTTTGAACTATTCAGGAGATTTTCCCCCTTAGATTTGCTTCGTTGGTTATTGTTGACCTCTTCCACACCCCTTTCCCCACAAATGCAGCCTATACATTCCATTTTTTGTTCTTCTTAAAAAAGAAAATATAATAGCTCTCCCTCTGAACACTTGATTTTTCTTCATCAGTTGTCCCATCTCTTCTGTTTTCACCTAAGCTTCTCAAAGGCATGGTCTGTACTTACTTGTCTTCATTATTTATTTCCTTAACTCCCTATGCTATGTTTTGAAAGTGCTTCCATTAAGGTGAGCAAACTCCTAATTGCCCAGTCCTTTAGGGATTTTAAAATTCTCATCATTTTTGTCCTCTTGATATTCTACATAAAGATCGGTAACTCCCATCCTTGCACTATATTCACAGTGATCTATCAAAAAATTTCTTTCTTTAATCTCTCGAGGATAAAGTCAAACCAAAGCAAGGCCAATCATGAGCTGACCACCTCGGTCGAATCTGCTGCCTCCCTAGTTCCCCCCACACATATTTTATGTTGTAGTAATAGCAGTTAAAAATGTCTCTTGTGCCAGTTTATGTTCTATTATTTCCTGTGCCTGGAATGCTCTTTTCCACCCTGTTCTTTGTCATCTTTCAAAATTGCTCAGGATTTACCTCCTGCTTCCTTGGTCA